GGTGGGGAGTGTGAATGTATATCAGTCCTCATTACTACTGGTGTCAGAATAAGGAGATCATATTGTTGCACGAAAACCTAGGTCTCCATTCAAGATACTGCACATCCTGTAGCACAAATGTTTCTTTGAAAGGTGCTGCCAAGTAATTGCCATAAACTGCTATTTATTGGAATAACACAGAGTCCAGGAAGTTAAGGTTATTGAGATCTGTTTTGTCATCTGACATGACAGAATGTTTCTTGGCTTTAAATACGGAGCCTTATGGTCATGATGAACACATAGAGGAAATGAATTTTGTTGGGATTTTATTTTTTAGCAGAAAGGCAGCAGTTCCTAAAATAAGATTATATTGTACAATGACACCCCGAGATGTTGCACTGCTACTCAGAACAAGAAGTGGAACTTGCTAAAAAAGATACGGAGAAATAGGAACTCAGTTACTGAGTCAGCATATCCACAGGCAGCAAGTGCCATTAGATGGCCTGGCCTAGTTCTGGGAGCTCTGACATGTGATGGGACCAGGAGGCGCTTACCACTTAGCAAGTCTGGGCCTGAGGTGATCACAAGCCCTGGTGTTTTGTTCTGATACCAGCTCTCAGCACGAAGTGCAGACAGCGTCAGCCTGCCCACCGATGCCTTGCTGGCAGTGGCTGATTTGCACGGTAGCTCCTCCTTATATAGAAATACAAGGGATGTCAAGGTATCCGTGGAGCAGCTGCACAGCCTTGTGACTGCTAATAAGCCGTGGTAGAGATGAACTGTGACACTGGTCTATTGCTGACTTTCTCGCTCCTGTGTTTTGACTGTGTGTAAAATTTTGCTCTGTAAAATCCTCAGACAGTATATAAGAAAATGTCACATGAGATGTAGAAACTATACCTTGTGAATCTCTGTATGCATGGGGAGTGCATACAGTAGCCAATCTGTGGATTTCTGTACCGTCACTCATTCATCTCAGCTGGGAGAACAACTCTCCTGACTTATCTGCATGTCTTGATGCTCATATAAGTATAATCTGTCCTTCTGGTGTGTTAGGAGTCAGCTCCTAGTCTCAAGCAATGTCAGCAGTAACGCTTTTGGCTCGTTGCCTTCAGGCACTTGAGGCCAGATTAGTTTCCTTCTGGCAATCCGTCTTTTGACTGTAGATTTCCCTCTTGCTTGTTCATAGTCATAGTGTCTCTACAGGTCATTCCCTCACCCTGATGGTTGGTGTTTCTCCTAAGCTGTGACTAGCACTTAAACCAAGCCCCAGAGAAAATCTGGTACTATGAAACAGCATCCCAGGGGACCTCATCTGAAAATAAAGTCCCCTTAACTTTGCATTGCCGGGAATATACTACTATTAAGCTAGTGGATCACCTCTCTATGTGATGTTTGGGTGTTGCTTCTATAAATGAATGTAGCTCTGTTTCATTCTGTACTTCCATGGGCACTGCAGAGTGCCGCTGGTGATTTTGAAGGAGTATTTTTAAGCTGCAGCAAGTATTTAGAAATGCTCAGACTGTGATGATATTAACTGTGATGGAGCAGCGCTGCTCAGGTGTGAGCAACATTAGAAGCAGCAGAATGTTGTAATTTGAAAATAAGCTTTTACCGGTACAAAACTTCCTTTCAAGGCTAGCCAGACTCTCGTATTCGGCTCTCCGGTGAGCTAGCAAGCCATAGCACCCTGCTGTCAGCCCTTCCACATCAGGCTCCCTTTGACATGTCCCAGCAGAACTTACTTAATCAGATACTGTGCCTCTTTTCAACTTCAATCATAATAAGAACTAGGGATTTCTTTTTTAGCTGGAAAGCAAACAGGTCAAGGTAGCACTGTGTTGGAAATAAGGTAATTAGTGTGCTTTTGCATAGTCTGGAGGCCTTGTTAAAACAGGAGCCCGAGGTAACAACCCATGCTGGCCACATGCATAGCACAGAGCAGTAACATCATGCACTGCTCTGCCAGAATTTGGAATTTTGCCCTGAAGACAGACAGGAATCAGATGACAACTTCAGACATGCCTCTACAGCAGTAAAGAGAGTGGTGAGTTCATGAGGTCTGCGCTTCCCCTGAGAATATGATGATTAATTTGTGGGGAAAAAAAAAGTCCTGTAAAGATAACAGCCCTGAATAACTAAGTAATCCAACTTTCCCCCTTAGGTGTATGGGGCTACAACAGGATCTCCCACAGATAGTGACCATCCTAAAGAGAAGAGGGAAGGGAAAACTGAAGAAGAATTGGGTTCTGATTCATCCAGCACAGCTGACAGTAAAATTGGCTTTTCAATGAATGACAGTCCTACATTTAGCAAGGGTTTGTTTGTAGACAGTAGAGACTATTCTAAGAAAAACCTTCAGAATACAAGCACAAACCTGTCTGGTGTCACTTTGCCAGAGGATGACAAACGAAGAGGGGCTCAAGATATTTTAGGATCCCATTTTCCAGCTGTTGAAAGTGGAAAACAAAAGCCAAACTACAAACTTTCACGAGATGCTCACCAGGGCCTGCCACAGGGTGAAGCCTTGCAGAGCATGGGCAAGCATATCCCCACCAGCAGTGTTGCCCCTCTCATGAGGCACACACAGGAGGCTCCAGGGCCTCAATCTTCCTTGCAGGAGCAAGAAGCTTCTGCAGCCAACTACAATCAGGTTGTGCTAAGACCCAAAGTGTCCAGAAGTAACAGTGTCAACAGCATTGAAGAGACAGACTCTCTGGCTAGCTCTCCAAGTGAAGACAACCCACCCACAGAAAACATTGCCTTCATGATTACTAAAACAGCTGTCCAGGTCCTCTCAAGCGGGGAAGTTCATGATATAGTCAGCCGGAAAGGTGGAGATGTGCAAACAGTGAACATCGATGCGAGGAAGGATGTGGCATTGGAGAAGGGTATCCCAGAAAACACAGACAGCGAAGAGCCAGTGGTGTGTCTGGACAAAAAACCTGTCATCATAATTTTTGATGAACCGATGGATATTAGGTCAGCGTATAAGCGGCTTTCTACAATTTTTGAGGAATGTGATGAGGAGTTGGAGAAAATGATGACAGATGAAAAGATAGAAGAGGAAGAGGAGGAGGAAGAAAATGAAGGACATGAAATCTCTGAGAGCCAGAAGGAAGAGCCATCAGTAGTTAATGACAGAAAAGCAGTCGTAGCATATTCAGCAGCTCATGATCTCAATGAGCAGTACATGTTTAACCTTCAATCTTCCTCTGACTCTGCAGAATCCAGACCTCCTGCAGAGGAGGAAAGCACAAAGACCAATTTTAACAAATACCGTCAGATCTATGGGCTAAACACAGAAACAAACTTGGACTCTGCTGATCAGTTTGGAAGCAGGCAAGATTCTAAGAAAAAATTTAAGTTCAAATTCCCTAAAAAGCAGCTGGCTGCTCTGACACAGGCGATACGGACAGGAACCAAGACTGGGAAGAAGACCTTGCAGGTTGTGGTCTATGAAGAAGAGGAGGAAAATGGGAACCTGAAGCAGCACAAGGAAGCAAAGAGATTTGAAATCACCAGGTCTCAGCCCGAGGACAGTGACAAAAGTCCTTCTGGGAAGCAAGAGGGACCCCCCAGAGCAGCAGTATCCCTGTCTAGGACTGACGAAATTCGACAGAATACATACCGAACGCTAGACAGCCTTGAGCAGACTATAAAGCAGCTGGAAAACACCATCAGTGAAATGAGTCCAAAATCTATCCCTGAAAACACATACTGCTCTGAGGGAAGCACTGTCCCCTTCTCTGCCCAGATAGTACCAGAGACCCCACCCCAAGAGCTTGTAGTGCTGCATGAGAGCCTTGCTGGCCTAGAGCCCCCTCCGTCAATCCCAGCCACTTCACGTAAGGTACCTTAGTCCAAGAAATCAAACCTCCAGGCGCTTTCTAAAAATCTGCAATAATCACCATTAAACAAGAGGGTCTTGTGATTTGTTTGCTTCCTTTCAGGTGGCTTGTTTGGGCTCCCCACAAGGTGTCTAACAGCTAATAGAATGTTGGGTTGGTTTTTGGTTTGTTTTTTTTTGTTTTTTTTTTTTAATCTTTGCTGCTGATTGGTGATGGGCAAATGCAGGGGAGCTGGGTTGAATAATCCGCTGTGTGAAATGAGAAGCGTCACTGACATGAAATCCAGGCTGATCAGTAGCTGAGCAGTTTTCTCCATTTGATTCTGGAAATTAACACCTGTGATGTGAAGCTCCTGAACTTTCCCTGCATGTAGTACTGTGGCTTTTTTTTTTTTGGCGCATGGTGTGCACTCTCCACTTCAAGCACACCAGTACTGATCACGCCTTCTCCTTCTCTCCCCTCCCTGCCCCTCCGCTCGTTTCCGCAGGGCTCCAGCACTGCCTCGCAGACAAGCCGGATGCCGGTCCCCATGGCTTCAAAAACTAGACAAGGAAGCATGGAGAAAGCAGGCAAACAACACAAGCTGCAGGATCCACGCCAATACAGACAGGTAGTTTTACCCTAAACCCGGTGTTTGGATGGACATTTCATGTTGTTTCTTTGTTTAAAAACTCCAGTAACTGGCTGAGATTATACCAAATAACGGCTGCCTGACTTTTGAGCGAGGTCTAACTGGACGTCCTGGATCCTGGGGGCATGACAATATCTACTGATCCTTTCACCATGCTTGTGCATGCATGTCTGCAATAAAACACCTGCTGCTCTTTTTTCCTTTTTTGTTTGTTTTGTGGTGTTTTTTTTTTCCTTCCCTGTTGTTTTTTGTTTGTTTGTTTTTAAACTGTGGTATTCAGCTGTAACTTTAAGATGTCAACTACCTGTTTACTTTCCCTTTGGTAAATGTGGCAGTTCCTTAGAAGAGCTGGGAATGCTACTGTTCAGAGAGTCTTTACAGGAAGCTTTGGACACTAACCTGTCGGTGTCATAGATGGCAGTAGATGCACATTAACTCTCCGGCAGGACATGTCTATTCACACGTTAATAACCCAGAAGCATGGCCGATGTAGTGACTGGTCTATAACCCATAGATCGCACCTTCTCACAAAACCTTTGTTGGCTCTTCCTCTCTATGCACTTTTCGTTGGGCACTTTGGGTTTTCTACCAGGTCCAGTCCATGGCTGCAAGACTTAGCTCAGGCCTCGAACTGTTAATTCTTATTCTCTGTAGGGCTATTTTCCCAGGTCCTGTTGGTTTATCATGTTACTGGCTTTCTGACAAACTGTCTCCTGCCGTCTTTATTTGCAGGCTAATGGAAGTGCTAAGAAAGCTGGTGGGGACTATAAGGCTACTTCCCCTACCCTACCTGCTTCTAAGATCCCAGCCTTTTCTCCCACTTCTGGGAAAAGCAGCTCAGCACCTGCTTCTAGCAGTGACAGCTCTAACCCTACCAATCCACCTACTAAAACCTCCATTCCTTCCTCTAACCTTCTCAGTCCTCAGACAGGTCGTTTAACTTACTCTACCTCCCTCATCCCCTCTGTCTCTAACGGCTCCTCCAAGTTTCAGAGCCCCACTTACCCAGGGAAAGGTCACCATCTCTCGTTCTCACTACAGACTCAAAACGGCCGGCCACCCCCTCCTTCCTCCTCTACCTCCCCCCCCTCCTCTACCTCTCCCACTTCACTGAACCAAGGTATGAAGAGCATCAGGACAATCCACACGCCTAGCTTCACCAGCTACAAGGCACAGAATGGAAATGCCGGCAAGTCCACCCCATCCACGGCCAAGGAGCCATCCTAAAGGCTAAGCACAGCACGTGTGCGAGTTCAGCAAGGCTTTTTGTTCATTTTCAAAGAAACCGCAGCCACTATTTTAACCAGGGAATGTAACCATTTTGCTGTATTGCAGGAGGCTTAATACTAATCACGTGCTGAATACTGAATTACTACACTAGATTAGAGTGAAGCTTTTTGGTAAAACTCTGTTGCTGTTGTAATGATAAAAGAGCATTTTCTTCCTATAGGCAGCACCTCTTATGAAAAAGTGTGAAGGTGTGTGAGTGAACTTGACTGCGTGTGCACAGCGGTGTACTGAGCATGGGAAAATGTATGGTTAAAAATTTAGTAAGTTGTTTTGTATAAAGCTATTTTTCATTATGGGGACTAGAAGTGAAGAAAGATATAGTAAAGTGTGATTATACACAACTGTAAAACTGAAACTAAAATATTTTTCTTTTATTTTGGTGTTATTTAGCTTTGTTACAGATTTCTATTTTTGTCAACAAATGTCATGGTTCCTTTCGAGATCTTTTTGCCAAAACATTTTGATACTATTGTAATGTACATTTGAAAGTAGTATGCTGGACAGTAAACCTCTACACAAGAAACAGAACAAGACTGGTCTTGGTGTGTATGAGGCAACTCAACCTATTGCACTGCCATTCAGATTATATTTAAGAATTTGCCAGCCAAGAAAAAAAAATAAATTGTTTTACATATATAGGTAGTTGCCGATTAATTTTTTTCTTAGCTAAATCCACCCTTTTTCCTTCAGTTTTATTTTACTGAGACCTGGTAGCCCATCAATGTATTGCATTGTGGATTTTAAAATGTACACTTCACTACTGTTCTGTATACTGGTAAACTTTTGTACATATCTATAAATATATATATAAATAAATACTGTATGTGGCTGGGCACATAGAGTAGTTTTACCACACCAAAGTTAATTTTTATGCATGCTTAAAAATATATATGGGGAAGGGTTGAAAAAGATGGATATCAGTCAAATAGGAAAATAAGCAAGAAGCTTGCGTAGCTCATGGTTTTGTAAATAAATTTATTTGTATAACACCATGTAATATACAGAAATATGATAAGCAAAGATCTTTACAAAAATAAAGGGCTGCATGCTTATATAGTTGTATTTTGTTACTAATAACTTTTATAATTGTCCCAAGTAGTTAAGGTGTTTGCCTGAGAGCATCAGGAGAAAAATTGACTTTATTTTCCCCAGATTAATGCCATACATAAGTATTAATTTTAAAATGGAGTCTTTGAAATTTATCCAGACAAAAGCTAATTGCTGGAACTCCAGGTCAGAAAACTGGGAAGAAAAGCACCCAAACCTTTGACTGATTGAATGAGGTATCATCTCTTCCACCTTTAAGTATTCTTTGTTTTATTCCTCCTTGTGAAACAGGAAGTTTCTTAAAAGTGTCATGTCAGGGCTGAGCCTTCAGATGGTGCATCCCTTGCAGCAGGAGTAGGTAAAGGATGTAAACGTTAACTCACATCTCACGAACACAACAGAGAGTCTAGTTCCACAGGGTCGTGCTGAGTGCCACCCCTTCCCCTGGCATGGCAGTAAAGGCCCCAGGCACGTGCAGAACGCAGGAGCTCCAGCACCAGGCTGTGAGCTCAGCCCAGGACAAGCTGGGTGGCTCCAAAGCCAAGCAAAGCGTAAGGCGCAGTTCAGAGGCTCACACTGAACCACTGGAGTGAAGCCAGTTCCTTTCGAGCTGGTACAGAAAAGCAGTGGCTCCAAAGCCTGGTCTGGGAGCAGCTGATTTAGGTGGGAAGAACCTCTCAAAATCTTCTGTCACACTGCACACCCTGGACCATGCACTTTCCAAGGGTGTCTTCTACTTTCTCCAGTGTTAAGTACATTACTCCCTTGCTCTGAAGGGAACAAGCCTGATCCAATGCCATATCTTGTTACCAGGTAGGGCTACTGCACGCCCCCACACAACAGACAGCAAATACAGAGACCACCAAGAGCCCAGGTACCACGCTTCTCATTTACGCTACACAGCCAAAATATAACTTCAAGCTAGCGATGACATACTAGGTTTTGTTCTTAAACTGTTAGTCTGACATCCCCCAGGGATCTGACGGTTACTGAAAACCAGGAACTTGCTAACACCTGATCCTCTGTAACTCCATGAGAGCTGTCCCCCACGAGCCATGCCATCGCACAGCCAGGCAGGGTCCCTGAGGGCAGACCTTGGCCCCAGCCCTCCTCCGCCCTGCCGCACCGCAGCACTCACCCAGGAGCAGTGGCTCTGGCACTGCTCCCGCTGCTGCTTCTCACAGCCACTTCAGATGAGGGGCCACAGCAGCACATTCTCTGTATTTGTTTGAATTTAGACACTGGCAGTAGTTGTATAAATAACCAACGGTCCCTGCACAGTCACTGGGTGTGCAGTGGGCAGTAAGGCAGTGCTATACTCAACAGGTAATTACTGCTTATGGTGGTGAATGTGCAAGTCACCATCAGGGAGCAAACACAACATCCACTCGTGGCCTCAGTTACACTAGCCAAGGCACATCTTCAAGCAACCATGTTTTGGGCACCTGTGTGTCTCACCCTCAGTGCTGGGGTGCAGACCCTGCCAGGAAACCAAGCACAGGCTCCGACAGCACCTAATGCACTGCGCAGGCACCGCTGCCGGGACCATCAGGCATCAGGCGGTGTTTATTCCCTCCCCATCCTGCTTGTACAGCAATGAAGTTGTCAGGCTTTCACAAATGCAGGCAGGGAAGGGCTGTGCACAGGCTGTAGCTGAGCACCAGGAATGCTTTTGAACACTGGGCAGAGTAGAAAAATCATCAAGTCTGTAAATAAATTCCTTGAGCACAAGAGGAAACAGCACAGGCTAGTGATTAAAAAGCCAGGTTTCTCACTGCAACCAGTTATGAAGAGGCGGTGTTGGTGGAGGTGACTGCAGCCAGTTAGGGACAATAGCCATTGGGCAGCTACCACCACAACAGGGGGTTCGGCGCTAACAGAGCTGCCCTCCGCCCCCGGCAGGCGAGAGGCCAGCTGCCTTCCCCAGCCAGCTAGCCTGCGTTCAAAAAGGGGAGTGCAAAAAAGCAGCCCATCCTCCTTGCTGTTGCCAGGGCACGCCAGCACAGCCAATTCCAGATCAAGCTCTTACCAGCTCTTTGGCAGTTTAAAGACAGAGGTTCTTCAGCAAACAAGAACCCAGCAGGGTACCATGTCCCCAGGGCACCAGACCTGCTAGCAGTTGCATTTGCTGCACAAGTCTCTTCTATGAGCAGCCATCAAGTTTCTTTCCTTCGCAGCAATCCCACAGGTTCAGATGTGGTGGGACCTCACTTCTCCGTTCAAAAATAAAAAATAAACAAAAAAAAATCACTAATAAAGCAGCTCACTGCTCCCCTTTGAGGTAGAAGGAGTTGGAAGGTGAGCAGGACCTTCCTGCTGCCTCTGGCAGTCTGAGCCAGCCCAGGACTTCATAGCAAAGTCAGCGTCATCCCTGCGTGCCAGCTGACTCTACCGACGGGGACTGCAGCAAACCCAAAACAACGCAGCCCGCAGCCCCCAGCCCCTGTGTTGGGCAGGCCACAGTGACAGGAAGGCAGAGCAGAAGAGGATGCATAGAGCAGGGAAGAGAAGAGATGTGCAGGACATTTCTGCCTAGAAATGCACAGGGCCAAAATCCATCAGATCCCCATGAAGAGGCAGCTCTTCCTGCACACTTCATTGCTCGGGGGGTCAGCAGTAGATGATTAAGGCAGATTTTTAGAGTCTCAAGACTGAGC